AAATATTATCTGACGAAAATTATTCCCATAATATACGATAAACATATATATATAATTTGAGGATTCCCAGAATCCCCATCCTCTTTCGATGAAAACGTCATGGCTTAAACCTACCATGGCAACAACACACGACAGTATATCTTATTTTATAATAAATTTTCTTTCAGCACCTTCATTAATTAAAACGGTGGGTTTTAAAAGTCTTGTAAACCAACATGCTAATGCTATATGGTGGGTGGGAGCTGCAGACGGGGGCTGGGCCTATCCAGGCTCTCATGTGGCTTCACACCACTTCTATTTGGCTAAGGTTAGCTCCGTAGTGAAAACGAGTATTAGTTTATAAGTAGAAGTATGTTGAGTTTAAAATTTAAAACCCTTCAATATATTTAATAATAAGACAGTTCACATAATTGTCAGTTAGCAATGAAGGTGATACAAACAGTTTTAGTCAAAAGGTCTTATCGTGCAATTAGGCTTGTTTTGATTTTGTTTTGTTTTGTTTTGTCTTGTCATTCTTTGTGTTCAAGGAATTGTATCTTTTGTTAACAAATTAGGGCAGTGGGCACAGCAAACTTTAATATATCAAAATCATAAGCCAGTAAATAGTCCTGCAGTACTTCCAAAAGTATCAATGTCAGATTTACGCAAAAATAAATGAGTATTCGGTTGTAAGGGTTGGAAAGTACCACCTTTCCTGCTCTTTCTTGGTTTCTTCAACATTAAAGATATGCTTTTCTTTTTCTTTATTTCCTCTTTTTTTTTTTTTTTTTTTTTTTGGAAAACTTTCTTTATTTCCTCTTTAGATGGAAGATTACAACAAGTTGCATACGTCACGAGGATGTTTAAAAATTTTGCAATGGAAAAGTTTCTTCATATAACATACGATAATTTCAACCATTACATCTACCTCATTTCAGCTAGATTTCTTTGACATGTTAAATTGTCATAAAGACTTCCTAATTTTGAAACATCAAAGTTATTGACAATTAAGTCCTAAGTTAAAGATTCAATAACCAAATTTAGTGATCATAATCTAAAATATTGGTCAACATGATACACCTATAATAAAAATTTCGCATGAACTCATATGCTAGTAGAAAATTCGATTACTGCAACTTTTAACGAGAACCATGCTAGACACTAAATTCTATTCTCAACATCTATACTATCTATTAACAAAATCATCTTGTCAATTAAAAGATGGTGAAAATATAGTTTAATCTTCTATGACAAAATAAAATCATGGACAGTACAGTAATTTCGCACAAATCAAATTTTGCTTTTTTTTTTTATTTAAGCCCCACCCACATGTAATCATATAACATATCTCTAATATTAAAAAATAAAAGGGTCATTTAGTAGCTTGGTCTAGTGATATCCCTCTTTACTTGTAAGTAAGAGGCCTTATATTTAATTCTCGCCAAAGACGAATTTGAACCACATTATTGCTAGCCCATTGTGAGGCTAAGCTCACTCCCCTCCCCTTAGTGTAGATAATATCGTTTGTTAAAAAAAAAAATTAAAAAATAATAGGATAATGCTAGAGAGACTAAGGGGGTGTATTCAATTGAGATTTTGAAGGATTTATAAATCTATGGATTTTGATGGAGTTTAATTGATTTGTAGAGATTCCATGTAAAATTTTGAGTCAATTCCTCCAAAATCTTAGGGCAAGATGTGAGATTTGTGAATGCTTAAAATACACTATGAAATCTCTTTAATTCCCTCCAATTCCTTAACTTTTTAAACTTTGTTGAAACAAATTTCGAACTCAATACACCTAGAATGTTATAAACTTCTAATTGAATACACTTAGATTTCTAAGGATTTTAATAAACTATCTTAAAATCGTAATTGAATACAGGTTGAATATTAAACAATCACTTAAAATCCTAATTGAATACACTTAAATTCATTAAAAGAATTAAAATCTCTCACCCCCCCCTAAATTTGTTGACTAAACTTTGTAAACTAAGTGACATGGAAGTTGATAATTTTATTATCACCTAATATTGATTAACGTGCTTATTTCTTATTAGTGAACCATAATTTAGTTTGCAAATTTAGTCTACCTAATATTACTCAAAATAAAAACCTCTCTTCTCAGTTCCACGTTCTCTCTCCTTCTCTCCTTCCCATTTAAAAAAAATTGTTCATAGACAAAATGTGTGGACTTGTACAAGTAAATTACAAAAAAATCAATAAAAATTTAATTATAAGTTAAGCCAAAAGTTCTCAGCATGCACACAAATTCTTCATCATTATTTTTTTTTTTTTACAAAAGAATCATGTTTGCTACACATCATCATGAACTAATTTAATTAATATATATCGACCATAAGTGGTTTATACTTCAATGATCAAGAACTAATTAGGGCATGTTCATTATTGTTATTTTTTTTAAAGCAAGAGATAATATATATTTACACTAAAGAAGTCTTACACTGGGCTAGTAATAATATAGTTTAAATTTTCCTTTGACGATAATCAAATTTAAGGCCTCTCACTTAGGAATACCACTAGACTGTAGTACTAAATAGAATTATTATTATTATTATTAGTATTAGAAAAAGCAACAGATCGCGTGCTGCTCTGAATTACACCAAGAAATTCTTCGAATTTAATCATACACCTCATTTCAAATCACATCCCACTCGCCCGGTCCACCAACTTTTCTGAAATTCATAGTGTGAACAAATATAGGTTGTACATATGTAAACATCATTCTCATATTAAACCATATTGTTAATTATGATCCACAAATTGCCCATGCCATAACAGTGACATTACGTACTGTAAACCTAGCTAGATTTGTCATTGGACAAGACGCAAGAAAACAAAGACATCCTTGACATGAGGAGAGACTAGCTAAAATCGCAAAGTATAATAACATATACATGCCCAAAATAATATTCGTAAATAAGAGACAGAAATTACTTAACCTCTACCGTTAAACTTCATTCTGCACAAATTAAATCGAACTATGCATGCTGCATTCATAATAAAATAAAATAAAATAAATTAAAAAAGGCTAGCTAGTGATAATCTGGCCTTAATTAATTTGGCAGCAGACTATAGCTAGCAAGCTGTAGATGGATGAGTGCTGTAGGGGTTGAAGATCAAGTGAGTCTTATTCGACCCGACTAAAAATGGACTTGTCGATGACTCGTGATTATGATTATAATGATCGCCGCCGTTGCAGATTTTCTCACAGGAGGGACACATGGTGAGAGTGGCAGTTGGAAACTTCATGTAAAGGGGTGCTGCTGCTGTTGCTGTATGTTTCATTAATTTGAGCTCTTGCAACTCCTTGTGTAGCCTTCTGTTCTCATCTTTCAATGTTTCACAACATTGTTTCAACAACTCGCACTCTGCTTCTGTTTGCTTCAACTTGGTCCTACAAAAGTGTAATAAATTAAGAATATTAGAAAATTATATATTAGTGGAGACTCATATGAACAAGAATCAAACATGCACATCATGAAAAATTTTGAATACAAATAATAAGAATAATTAAGTATGAACTTGATATTCATGTTAACTGAACTCGAGACCTCCCACTTAGTGAGGATAAATACTTGGCACATCTTGGAAAATAAAGTAAAAAAATTATACCTAGCCCTCCTGTTTTGGAACCAGACTTCAACTTGTCGTGGGCGTAAGTTTAGCTTTCTTGCCAGTTCTTGTTTTTGTTTCTGAAAAAAGAAGAAGCTTATAACATGAGACAAATAACTAGAAAAATTAATATGATAAGATAAGTATTGATAAACAATGATAATCTAAACACAAGCTTATAATATCATGAAGACAAATAAATACATAAATAAAGATGGTTTATGGAAAAATATAATATTTACTGGATTGAGAGTAGTGTGCTCTCTGAAGCTGTCCTCTAAAGTGGCAGATTGTTCTTTTGTAAGTCTGAGTTTCTTTCTAGGACTGCCCTCGTGATCTTGATCTTGATCATATAATTCGTCGCTTACTCTTGATGAAGTAGTGATATTCACTACTACTCTATCTTCTTCTACCTCTCCCTCTATTTCTTCAACACCCAAACCTCTGTCCCTCTTGAAACTAGATGAGTTGGAGAACGAAGAAACGGCGCCGCTGCAGGGAGAAGAGGCCCGTTCTTGTGCTTGCACATATACTACTTGGAGCAAATGATCATCCGATTTGGCGGCCTCGATCTTCGAAGCCCCGGAAGATGGACCTAGGGTTAGAGCCGGCAATAGGTGATCATATTTCAACTGTATTTTTCTTCTTCTTTTGGTGATCGAGATCGAAAGCCTGCAAATTTTGTATGATGATCTGGATTACCTTGACAACCTAGGCTGAGTCCAAGGCCAGTGTTACAAGCTTCATGATCAAAACCCATCGATCTCTCTAATAATATTATTGTTGTTGTAGCAACAAATTAATTACAAAATATTTATAAAAAAAAAAAAGTCTGAGCGTGGAGGCAAAAGAATATGGTATTCTTTTTTAGGAGGGAGAGTTGGAGTAGTAGGGCTGTGGGGATCGGATTATTTAAGCAAAGGAAGGAAAGTGAGTGACGAATATGGTTTTGTGGAATTATAACAATTAGATCGACCCCATATCTCTTTGTCCTCATAGGTTGACCAATATCACAAACAAATTATCTACTACTCTAATGTCTATATACGTCTCGATACAGTTGATGTGTATAGAAGGTATATGAAGCTAATTAAGCTAGTTTGTATATGTGTGTGTGTAAGCATGCGTGGAGCCACATGGAATGTGGGTGTACACAAGAACGAACGCACATTAAAGAGTGAGGGGAATAATGATTCGGCACTTTTTACCTTTTTCATTCCACTTTTTGATCTACTGAATTCTCACTTTATATTATACGATCGAACAACTATTTTATTCTACAGTATTGGGGAGAGAGAGAGAGAGAGAAATTCTTTAGGTACGAACGTATATACTTTCGATCACTTTCACACTAATACATAGTGTGAAAATTTGACCAAAAAAATAGTTTAGTGTGAAAATTAACGGTTGTTCTCATGTGTATTTAATGGACACATGCAATATTCATGGTACATCGATATATATATCTTATTAGAAGAATTTCATACATTTATTCTTAAAATATGGAAAATACATTTATCTTCAAGTTTCAAATTTATTGAAACAATCTAAGGAAGGCAAACATTGATAAGAGTCTGATGAAGACCAATCCTTTGTGTTCCTGCATGTAGACCTAATTGCAGACCACCCAAATGCCTCTTTGAGTACCACAATCCTGTGTTCCTGCATGACTTTTCTAACTAGAGTTTTTTTCTGAACTCTTTTTTTAGCTAGGAAAAATCGATTATTACATGTTCATTATCATCACCTATCTATCTGACTTTTAAGATTAGAAATTCTAAGAGCATATCTTTTTTGAAGATAAGTGATGGGAATTAAATGATAGCCATTTGTAGGATTAATCCACCGACTAATCTACAAATTCATTGCACCTTTTGTGCGAGCTATGATTAAAAATCTCATATATTCTTTGATGAGACATATAACCGTATCGATGCACTTTTTTTTCCTTGTTTCTCTTTTCTTTGGTTTAGCATAATTAACAGGGATTTTGTTCACGAAAATAGTTCTCCATGACATGGACATAACATAAAGAACGCAAGTTAGTTAGATGGCATAAAGATTAGAGATAGGATTTTCGTTATCTTGGCTAGCTATCCTTCGTTTACAAGTTTCTAGTGCGGTTGAGCAGATAGAGATACATTGACCTTGAAACAGTGGTGCCAATCAAAAAGTAATTTAGTTGGTTTAAAAGATGAATGGGAATAATTGGGTTAGTTAAGATTAAACAGATTATTCCTCTATCCATCATCATTAACCTACACTTTAAGGCTTAAAAATTTAAAGTAAAGGGAAAAGAGCAGGGTTACAAACGACAAAGAATCCTAGCTTAGCTAATATCACACTAATTTAATTGTAAAACAAATCGTATAATGGTATCATGCATAACTTTATCATCGTCATCTTTAATTGTGTTGTATTGTTATTGCCATGTCCAGTTCAGGCCGTGTGTTATCTAAAAATTAAGTACATAAACAAGGAAGAGGATCATCTCCGGATCCACTTTGTGGGGATCCTAGGAATCTCCACATCCTAGCAATTCATTGTACATCGTACAGCCAGTTTTCGTGAAATACTATTTGTGTTTAATTTTAAATAAAAAAAAGTCAAATGATTTCTGACCGTACGATATACGATGAATGACTAAGATGTGGGAATCCCTAGGATTCTCACAAAGTAAATCCATATGGGATCCAATTCCCATAAACAATGCGTAAAACATACTAAATAGATAATAATATTCGTTATAATTAAAGATTGTGAACAAAAAGGTTCCTATTTAGCAAGTGTAACCGCGTGGAAAGCCGGCAAGGGATAGACAAGTAGACCCCACCAATGATTTTGGATGATGGGGCATTTGAATTGATTCTATAGAAAATAGTTGTAGTTTAATTTGGTGATGGAGCCAGAAGACCTAAAAAGTACTGTAGAGTAGAAACTAAAAAGAAGAAGTTGGCAATGCAATGATGGAATGGATGTGATTGAGAGAGCAAGAGCAATGTGTAAGGGTGGGGGTGGTGTTGGAGATAAGGTTTCAGATGTGTTCCGGGCTTTAAGGCCAGCCGACCAGTGAGCGTGTATGATTGTGCTCAGTGTTTGGCTTTTCCACATCCTTCTTTCTTTCCCATACCCAATCGTTCATGTCAAATAACAAGAAGCCACCACTTTTGTCTACATATTTTCTCAACCACGTAAAAATCACAAGCCACACCTACACTTTCAAGCATATTAACTAGTAATATTGTTGTGTCAAAAATTAGTATTGTTGTTAATCATTTTATTTATTATTAGAGGACAAGAATATAAGATCTGCAAGGGTTACCAACTAGGCTTTCGGCTAGTGATATTGACTATTTGTCATAATTTAGTTGGAGATCTAGTTTGACTCTTACGAATAACGAACATGATATATTTATAATGAATTCAATTTATAATTGTATAACGATCAATCTTTTTTATGACGCTAATGTCAAAACATAAAATTTAGCTACGGTTTAAATGTCAATTTAAAATGCATTAGTATTCATTCATGTAAAATCTGTTTGAGATAATTGGGCAGTAAATTCGAAATGGGATGGGACAACAAGAGTCTAGTCATAGCAACATAAGCTTCATTGACTTTTCGTGGAAAATGAGGGTAGTAGGAGAGCATCGTCAAGGCACCGGCCTTTCCGAAAGCAAAGCTATTGCTTACCCCACTGGGATTGTCTTTCAGTTTGTGATATATACTGCTTTCTATTTGTGCGGATAATTTAGTTTTAGGGTTAGAGCATCTATCATTTGGCTCCAGAAATAGAGACAGAGACCATGTCATGAGCAGCTCCCACCTCACCTTCCATAAATACGACTATACATTTCAATCATGCTTCAAAAAACTTTGAACCAAAATCTCTAGCAAAAAATTATTATATGAATAGTATATGCGTCCGTCTCGTGAATGTGCATCCTCCTCATTCATCTAGCTGTGATTAACGTAGTTTAATTATACAAATGTCAAAGAAGAATTCTTTGCGGGTTAACAATGAAATTGATTTTACAAAATTTTCATTGAAGAATGGACGATTACCTTCTTTATAGGCACATGGTTGTGAATTATGAGTTCTTTCTGAATAGGGTTTCGGTATCGAGAATGGCTTGACTTTGGATTTCTTGCAGTATGATGAACCCCATGTAAGGATATAGATAGTGGCTAGGATTATGCCATGTGTTAAAAAAGAGACTGTGAATGTTTAGTTAGTCAGTTAGAAAGGTAGTCTTTTATATAAATAGATCATTGTAATGGCTTAGAGGTTAAGAAAGATTAATACAACAAGTCTTTGCAGCTTCTCTCTCTAAACCTTACTCTCTCTCTCTAGTTCTTGAATCCTTATCTTCTCATTCGTTCTTCCTCTGTCTACATTAACATGGTATCACGAGCCGATGATGTTCGCGCTGTAATCTTCGATCCTCTGGCTGCTTCCGCTCATCTTCTTTGTCTGTAATTCTGGTATTCTTCGTCTGCAACTCTGGTATTCTTAGTCTGCAAATTCTAGGGTTTTTGTTCGTGTTGGTTTTCTTGTGCACACCAGGTGTTTGTCATTTTTCCTCTATTATAAATTGTGTTCTTTTGCTCTTGCAACTATGGTGAATGCATCACAATTACAAATTTTACAGTCTCCGATCACTGGTCTTATCTCTACGATCTCTACGTCTGTAAATGTGAAGCTTGATGATTCGAATTACTTGAATTGGCAATTTCAAATGCAATTGTTGCTTGAAGGTCATGGCATCTTGGCTTTTGTTGATGGTTCACATGTGTGTCCCCCTCGATATGTTACTGGTTCTGCTAATTCTGATGGTTCTGGTGATAGCTCTGCTCTAACCGAGAATGAACACTATATTGTTTGGAAGATGCACGACCGTGCTCTTATGCAGTTGATCACTGCTACTTTGTCTCCCGTAGCGATTTCATGTGCCATTGGTAGTACCAGTGCTTGTGACCTGTGGACTCGGTTGAAGGAACAATTTTCGGTGGTATCTCGTACTAGTATATTTCAACTTAAGTCGAATTTTCAGACTATTCGAAAGGGTTCAGATTCGGTGTCTCAATATCTGCAGCGTATTAAGGAAGCTCGAGATTATTTGTCAGCCGCTGGGGTTACTTTTACCGATGAGGATATTGTTATACTTGCTCTTAATGGCTTACCTCCTGAGTATAATACCTTCCGCAGTGTTATTCGGGGTCGTGAAAATGTTATTTCTCTCAAGGAGTTTAAGGTACAATTGCTAGCTGAGGAGCTGATTGTTGACAGCAATGTGAACTCATCGATTCTCACTGCCATGATGGCTAATAATTCTGGTTCTAAGTCCTCTACCACTCCACCTCGATCTGGGGGTTCAGGTCTTGGTTTCTCGGGCCACAATAATGGTTTCAATAGTGGTTATTCTGGTTCTTCAGGAGGCTATCGATCTTTTATCAACAAGAAGGGCAAAGGAAAATTTAATCAAGGGAATAGGTATCCTCATCCTAATTCTCGACAGCAGTTTCACACTAATTTTCCTAATTCGAATCCTAGTGTTCTTGGCCCTTCACCACCACAGTATTTTGGTCCTCATACCACACCACAGGTTTCTTGTCAACTGTGTAATACATTTGGTCACACGGCTCCATTCTGTAACTCCAAACCAACGGATAGGCAAGGTTGTAACATCTATGGTAAAGCAAATCACACTACCTGGTATTGCTTCTTCAATGACAAAGGTCCTAACTTCGGTGGTCCCCATCATTATACAGCACCTATGACTGCGTATCCTTCTTCTGCTCCTAACTTTGGTGCTCCACCATTCTCACCTCAGTTTCATATGCAAGCTATGCATACAGTTACTTCTAAATCGTCTCCAACTTCCACATCCTCTCATCAACCACAGATTTGGATCACTGATTCAGGTGCTACAAATCATATGACTGCTGACCTTTGTAACTTGTCATTGGCTTCTCCTTATCCCACAAATGAGACTGTACAAACTGCAAATGGTGAAGGTTTGCAAAT